TTCGAACGTGATGAGTAAACCTCCGATTACGGCACCACCTTTGAATAACCCTCTGGTCTTCAAAACTTGCCCGACTTATTTCAAACACCAACGATTCGAACCCAAACCTTCCTACCACAATCCTCTGGTTAACGCTAATAAATTGATAGAACCTTTCGTTCTTCAATTACCTTCGCTCGGCTGAATCTGTGAGGGAACGATTTGTGCGAAACCCCCAAAATCCAAGATTCTTGGGGGACAAAACCCTCAAGGTTTTATTCAAGAAAAACCCATGGATTTCTCAACTCAAACCCGATACACCAATCCTAAGTTTGGACGCTACCACCTTGATGATGCAGAATACACAACAAAAATGATTATGTGTAGTTGTTGAGAAAATGCAAGAAAGAGGATGAAGATGATGAGAACCTAATTAGTGTATATTTTCACTTTTCTTGTTCTTGTTATGAAGAATGAACTAACTCAATATATATATGCAAAGATGAAACCAAATAACCAACATAAAAGTCACTTAGAATGTTAAGCATAACAAAAATTCTGTGAGAAACGCGTGAGCGGTCGACCTAAAACAAGGGGAGGGTTGACCTGAGCTCTCCCAAATTCAGGATTATGTAGGAAACAACTCTTTGCATCGACCAGAACAGGTCCATGCATCGACGCAAAGCACCCCTATTTTGACAAGCACAAATGCACACAGTATGTGTCGACCGGATGGTCGACGCGAGCTCTCCTGAGAGCAAGACATGAAAATTGACTTCTGTATGAGTCGACCTAAGCATGCTATGAGTCGACTCAAACACTCAGAACTTGCAAAAATGCAGATTTTCATATATTTAGCTACTTCTAAGATAACCTAATGCATCTCTAACTTGACCAACATGATCAAACTCATATAGAACACACATAGTGCTATTCTATTTCTATATGTACCTAGACATGTTTGGACAAATGTTTGACACAAGAAAGATAACGTATGCATATGAGACTCGATGATACCGTCCAAAGTACATTTTTCAAACTATATATGTTTTGACATCATTAAAACAAGTATAACCAAGTATGAGGCATTTTTCCCTCACACTAGTAACATGTTACACTAGAATGAACTTGCTGGGTGTAACCGGTTACACCCTGCTCTGTAGACCTAGAAGTGTTAATTCTATGCATGTAACCAGTTACATCATATTGCATTGCCTTCATGTAACCAGTTACCCTAGGACTTGAAGCACCAATTTCATCAAAAATTACATCTCGGCTCATCACAATCTTCTGATTTTGCACGTCAAACAGTTTGTATCCTCCAGTATAGTAATATCCAACCAAAATCATCTCCTCGCCCTTGTCGTCCAACTTCTTTCTAAGTTGACCCGACACACATCGATATGCCACCAAACTGAAAACTCTGAAATAACTTATATTCGATTTGAATCTGGACCATACCTCTTTCGGTGTCAGCTTCTTAGTAGGGCACCTATTCAACAAATAGGTGGCTGTAGAGACTGCTTCTCCCCATAGCTCATTCGGAAAGTTTTTCCCACTTAACATGCTTCGAACCATGTTCATAGTTGATCGATTCTTTCTCTCGGTAACACCATTTTGTTGTGGTGTATAGCGTGGTACAACCTCGTGCAATATCCCCTCTTGATCACAAAACTTCCCAAAGTCATTTAAGACGTATTCACCTCCACTGTCTATTTTGAGCACTTTGAGTTTTTGACTGCATTTCCTTTCAATAGACTTAAACTTCTTGAACACATCAAACACCTCGTCCTTTGTCTCGATAAGATAAGTCCATAGTTTTCTATTAAAATCGTCAATAAAAGTGACAAAATACCTACTGCCACCCAATGTGTCAACTTGGATCGGCCCGCAAACATCAGAATACACCACCTTAAGGTGAGTCTCGGTCCTATGACCCGCATCCTTGCTAAAACTCGCCTTGTGTTTCTTTCCCTTCACACATTTTTCACACAAATCAGTTGAAATATTGACGTGTGGCAGCCCGGTAACCATACCATTTTGTTGCAACGCTTTAAGATCTCGAAAATTGAGATGCCCAAGACGGCAATGCCACAACCACTCTTCTCTACTTTCCGCTGTAGTTAAGCACCTACGCTCCATCACTTTCAACTCCATTTTGAAAGTCCTATTGGAAGCCATATGAGCCTTAAGAATCAACACTCTGTTAGCATCCACAACGTGCAAAATCTTGTCTTCCAAGCGAATTTTGTAACCCCTCTCAAGAAATTGGCCAATAATCAAGAGATTACACTTAATTCTCGGTATATATAAGACATCCTTGATCATAGAATGTCCACCATTCTTCTTTTTGATCAAAATATCACCAACACCTTCAGCCGCAAGAGTGGTATCATCTGCGAATTTTTCTCTACTTTTCGCGGCTTGATTGGTTTGCACAAACCAATCCTTTCTACCAGTCATATACGTTGAACAACCGGAATCCAAGTACTATTCATCGCTGCCTTGGAATCCATCTTGCACTGTAATCATTACATTTTGTTTCGAACGCGTTTTTTCCCCATTTTTCAAACTGCTGCAGTTGTTGTCTCACAACTTGCACCTGCTACTGCTGCTTCTCAACACCCCTTTACTGCCATAAAACTCCTTTGTGATCATTACCAAGAGCGTATTTTCATCATCTACCTCTTGCCTCGCAACCTTAGCTTCATCTCCTTGGGAATCCCTCTGTTTTGCACCACATTCATTAAACAAATGTCCAAGCTTTTGACACTTCCAGCACTGAACTTTACTTTTGTCCCTTGGTTTTCCGCCTCTAAATTGGCCCCAATCACCATATCTACTGGAGCTGCTCTTACCCTTTTGCCCCGTCAAAACCTTCAAATTTTATGGATCATTTCCACCCAAATTCTGGAAACTTTGCTTCCCTTTCGAAGCCTATTTTCCTTTCGATCTTTTACTCTTCTCATTGAGACGTGCTTGTAAAGCAATCTCCGCTTTAGCTTTATCGCTTTCTCTCTCATCTATTCTTTACTCATGAGCCTCAAGAGAGCTTTGAAACTCATCTTTGCTCAATGTTGTAAGGTCCTTCGATTCTTTGATAGCCACTACAATGTTGTCATATCTTGACGTTAAATAACGCAAAATCTTCGACACAACATGTTGACCCAAAATTGTTTCTCCACAAGACTTGATTTAATTCACCAACTGTGTAATACGCGTCACATAATCGTTGATAGTGTACTTCTCTTCCATTTGTGTTAGCTCGAATTGCCTCTTGTGAGTTTTTAACCTCATCACCTTCGCCTTAACAGCCCCGACATAAGCTTTCTCCAATATCTCTCAAGCTTGCTTTGCCGACTCACAATCGCCAACTTTTTCGAAGTTGTCACTATCAACACAAGAATGAGTCAAGAAGAGTGCCTTGTAATATTTCTTCTTCTCTTCCTTGAATGTAGCCTTTTGTGCCTCTGTAGCTTCTGCTCCAAGTGGTGTAACTCCATTGTTGATCACTTCAAGAACTTCTTGATACCCAAACAACACTTTCATTTGCTTTGACCACTTGTAATAATTCTTCGAATCAAGAATCAGAAGGTTGGTAGGGATTCTATCGTTGAAAACAATACTCATTGTTGCAGCGGAATTGGATCAGAACTAGAGCTATTGATGCCAAATGTTAGAATACACAAATCAATTAAGATGAATGAGGGTAATTTGGCGAAGATGGAGTTAAGAAATTCAGAGAAAATATATATATATATATATATATATATATATATATATATATATATATATATATATATATATATATATATATATATATATATATATATATATATATATATATATATATATATATATATATATATATATATATATATATATATATATATATATATATATATATATATATATATATATATATATATATATATATATATATATATATATATATATATATATATATATATATATATATATATATATATAGAATGAAAATTATCATTACCAATAATTTGGAGCACTAAAGGCTTTTTATACATAAAGTACAAAATAATAAGAAAGACAAAACAACTTAAAAATAAGCTGAAAACTGAAAAACCTAGGGTGATAACCGATTACCATAATCTAAATAACCGGTTACAACCAATTCAAATAGCTAACCAAATCTAATCAAAACAGTAGTAAAACCGATTATCACATATCCGATTACCGATTACACCAACCTAATAAAAAAAGCAGCCTCTAATACATACTATCATATTTTACAAAAGCTAAAGTTGAATTTTATTCTAACTTTTTTTATGGTTCTACCTAGTTTTAGATAGAGTTTGCTTTTCCTCTATCTATACTCTTCATTTAATGTTTATTCATAGATGAAATAGGAACAAACCAAATAAATAGCCCAATAATATTTCTTATGTCTATCTCTTTTATATAAATAAAAAATAGATAAATTAAAAAATATTAATTTAGATAAACACTACATTAATTCTTTCAATCCAATTTTGTTTTTTGGTCCAACTTAGTTCCCTATAGATTGAGAAGAAGAATGTACAAAATTCCACTACAATCAAGCCGAACTTAGGTCCCTTTGAGAACCGAACTTATTTAGTTTATTTTTTATTTTCCCCCCTATAAGTATAAGATTATATTTTTCTTAAAACCTACGAAAAAAATATTATCTTAAAAAAGTTGATAATCTATATAAATTTAGAAGGATTTTCGCTTAACCCTTCATACTAGTTTTGATTATTTAGTCTACCGACGTAGCTACTATTTTTTTCTCTAAAAATACTTGAAAATTTATACACCTTTCTGTTTTAACTACTCTCTTCTTTAATTATGCGTCTTTCATCATTTTCGGTGTAGTATTACTATCAACCAATTAGACTCTAGATATACTCCTATATAAACACGTTTTGCAGCATAGAAAGAAACATAAAAGAAGTCACGTTGAGAGGGTTGAAACTATCTAGATCAAGTGAAAGAGAAAAGAAATTCTGTAACTATTCATCATCATGACAATGGATCAAGGTGACAATGAAGACCACACGAACACGTTCAATAAATATGCTTTTGCTTGTTCCGTTGTTGCTTCAATTGTATCCATCGTTTCTGGTTATGGTAATATCATCACATTCTCTAATCTCTCTCACTCTTTATTCTATTTAGTTTTTGACACTCCGAACATGATCTCGGCACTTACACGACAATATTAATAATAGTTTGAGCGTTTTCCGCAAATTCTTTCAGAAGTTTAAGACGGCTCGGATTCGTTGTTGTCTTAATAATACATATTTAAAATGGAATAGTAGTATTAACTTGAACTATTCTACCTACATGATTAATTTCAGATACCGGCGTTATGAGCGGAGCATTGATATTCATAAAAGAGGACTTGGGGATCAGCGACGAACAACAAGAGATTATTGCAGGAATCTTAAACGTATGTGCATTAGTAGGATCTTTAACAGCAGGAAGAACTTCTGATTACATTGGTCGACGATACACAATTTTCTTAGCCTCTATGCTCTTCATGCTCGGTGCAGTTCTAATGGGGTATGGCCCAAACTATGTAGTTTTATTCATTGGAAGATGTGTTTGTGGTTTAGGTGTTGGTTTTGCACTTATGATAGGACCGGTTTACTCCGCTGAAATTTCATCTGCAGCATCAAGAGGTTTTTTAACCTCTTTACCTGAGGTTTGTATTGGCCTCGGAATCTTATTAGGTTATGTATCAAATTATTTCTTGGGAAGACATTTGAGTTTGAAACTTGGTTGGAGAATAATGCTTGGTATTGCAGCTATTCCTTCAATTGTAGTAGCTTTTGGTATTTTAGCAATGCCAGAATCACCAAGGTGGTTGGTTATGCAAGGTCAACTAGGAAAAGCTAAAAAAGTTTTGTTACAAGTTTCAAACACAACAGAAGAAGCTGAACATCGTTTCAAGGATATTAAAATCGCAGCTGGTATAGACGAGAATTGCAACGATGAAGTTGTGAAATTAACTCAAAAGTCCAGCCAAGGTCAAGGTGTTTGGAAAGAGTTGATTCTAAGACCAACACCTCCTGTACGTTGGATGTTAATCGCTGCTGTTGGGATTCATTTTTTCGAACATGCAACCGGAATCGAAGCTGTTATGTTATATAGTCCAAGAATTTTTAAGAAAGCTGGTGTTACTAGTAAAGATAAGCTTTTACTTGCAACTATTGGAGTTGGATTAACAAAGGTTATTTTTCTTATAAGTGCTTTGTTTATGCTAGACAAAGTTGGTAGAAGAAGATTATTGCAGGTAAGTGTTGCAGGAATGGTTGTTGGGCTTACAACATTGGGCTTTAGCTTGACTATGGTGGAACAGGCCCATGAAAAGGTTTCATGGGCTTTGACACTTAGTATCCTGGCAACATATTTTTATGTTGCTTTCTTTAATATGGGACTTGCACCTGTGACTTGGGTTTATAGTTCAGAGATTTTTCCTTTGAGGTTAAGGGCACAAGGGGCAAGTATTTGTGTTGCTGTGAATAGGAGCATGAATGCTCTTGTTTCAATGACTTTTATTTCTATCTATAAAGCAATCACAATAGGTGGAAGCTTTTTCATGTTTGCTGGTATATCTTTAATTGCTTGGTTTTTCTTCTATTTTTTCCTTCCTGAAACTAAGGGTAAGGCCTTAGAGGAGATGGAGATGCTTTTCACAAAAAAATCTAAAGGTAAAAATGTAGCAATGGTTAATGATCCAACACAAAGTGTCTAAGTTGTAAACGAAATCAATAACAATAAGTTTTTTGTTTGGCTTTTTTTATTCCATTATTGTCCTTGTCTAACTGCCTTTTTTTCTTCTTTTTTATTTGTCAATTTTTACATTTTTTATTAGAAAAACAAGTAAGTTAATATGAGAGTGAAGCGTGTAGAAGAAATTGAGCGGTTACTTCATTAAATAGTTTATCTATAGATGAGCATGTTGAAGAGACATGATAGAAAAATTATGACCATAGAAAAAGATGAAAATATATTTTTCTTCATTAATATGTTGTTGTGAAAAAGAATAATAGAAACATGTGGGGGCAAAGGAGAGGAATCTGACTAAGGGAAGAAGAAAGGGATGCCTTTCTTTTTCCAATAGCTAGTATATCTTTGATGAAGAAAGATAGCATGATAATGTTGATATGAATTCATTGCTACAATATATGCAAAAGTTTTGTATTGTTCAAGTACCGAGTCCAAACACAAAGATGAGGAGGGATAAAATAAATAAAGATTAATTAGTGGAATAAATAAATAGAAGAATATTATAGAGATGGAGAGAAGGATATTTTGGGAGTTGTTAAACTGACCTTTAAAGGTGGTAGGTCCGCTAATCTTTGTTTAGTTTCTTTCTAGTAGAAGGTACTTCTTTCTTAGATTTTAAAGTTTGCAATTCTTCTGACATGTTTATGGATGGAATGGTCTCAACATTTTTTTTTGGAATGATCCTTTCAAGCAGTGTTTTAAAAACCGGACCGGTCATCGAACCGGTGAGGGTATTGGGTCACTGGTTTATCGGTCGAACCACTGGGTCACTGGTCGAACCGCATGACTAAACCGGATTAAACCGGATAACTCGGTTGAATAGACCTGTCATTATATAGATATAAAATCGGTCGAACCGGATGATTCAGTTTCTAAAAAAATATAACTAGTAATTAAATTTTTTGAAAATATCATATCATAAATTCACAAGTTCATAATTTAAATTCAAATTTTAAACAAATGTATCACACATAACAAAATAATACAAAATTACAAAATCTAATTGCACTATAATATAATTGAATAATTTATAACAAAATAACTCTAATGTCTACGTAAAATTATTTCAAAACAATCAAAACAATTTTTTTTTAAATTTTTATAACTTTTGCATTTAAATTTTAATTAAAAAATAAAAAATGCATTAGAACCGGTCCGACCCTAAATCCGGTTTTTCCCGGTCCAACCCGATTTTTCCCGGTTTTCACCGGTTTGATGACACAGACGATCGAACTAGTAAACCAGACCGGTTAATAGGTCGGTTCCCGGTTCGACCGGTCCGACCGGCCGGTCCGGTCCGGTTTTTAAAACACTGGTTTCAAGTCAAAAGTCTTTTTTAAATAAGAATGGATTAGAATTTGAAAAGGATAGAAAACTTAGTAAATGTGTAAATCAAAGTGTTGTGATCACAAATGATACCTTTCAATAAATAAAGATTGAGAAATAAAGTTATTGGGTAAACAATGAAAACGGTTAAAATAAAGAGAGAAACAAGAAAGGATAAAGAAGAAAGAAGAAGGATTAGAGAGAATTATTTACCACTCACTTCCTCATAAGAGTTTACAAATGATTACAAATGAATATCACAATTGGTCTCACTCAACAACCTGAGTGATCTAGCCTATTTATAGACTAACTAGCTAACTTATAATACAAGCTAACTAAACAATTGTATCCTTAACACAAGGGCTAATTCGACATAATAAGTCAACATCATATTTCGACATTACATACTAGAACTAGCTTCGACTACAGTATATAACTCTTCGACATCAGCATGCGACCCAACTTCGACTTCATGCTTGTCTCCTGTCGAAACACATGAAAGCTATTCCTCGACAGAGTTAGAGTTCGACTCAAAATCTCACAAATCTCCACCTTGGATCTAGAGTTGCAACTTTACAATGTCTTGGTAATCATACAACAAACTTCTATGAGGGAAATATATTTTGCTTCAGTGGTTAATAAGGTAACAAACTTCTGAAGCGTTGCTTTCCAACTAATTGTTGTGCCAAACATAGTGAAGACATCTAGAAATAGAATTTCTGGAATCCATACAACATGCATAATCAGAGTCGACAAACCCTTCAATTTCGACTTTGTTATCATCACCACAAGCTTCACCATAAATCAGGACTCTTTTTAGAGACTCATTTATGTACCTGAGAATCCACTTTAAAGCTTGCTAGTGTGCCTTTCCAGGATTTTCCATATACCTGCTTACAAGGCTCACTTCATATGCTATGTTTGGCCTCTTACAGACCATAACATACATCAAAGAACCTACTACACTAGCATATAGAATACTACTCATATAGATTCGTTTAGCTTCAATAGTCGAACTTTGAGTAGTACTAAGCTTAAACTGAGGATTTTTTGGAGTCACAACAGGCTTTGAATTCGACATACCAAACTTTTTGAGAAGCTTCTGTAGGTATGTCTCTTGAGATAAGCACAACTTCGAATGCTTTCTATCTCCGGATGTCAATCCCAAGAATCCTGGTGGCAGCTCCCAGACCCTTCATTTCGAACTCTTTAATGAGTTCAACCTTTACCTACATCACATCCTCGACACTGTTGCTAGCTATGAGGATATCATCTACATAAAGTAACAAAATAACAAGTGAGTTTCCAAGTTGAAATCTGAAGTAAACATAGCGGTCGAACTTGCTCCTAGTGAAACCTATGTGTGCCATGAACTTGTCGAATCTTCTGTTCCACCGACGAGGAGATTTTTTCAGGCCATACAAAGACCTATTCAACTTGCACACATAATCTTCGTTATCCTTTTCTGCATACCCTTCAGGTTGACGCATCAGGATCGTTTCGTCTAGGTCACCATATAGAAATGTCTTCACATACATTTGCCCAAGTTCCAAGTCGAACTTCGCCACCATGGACAACAACATTCTAATGGATCTATGCTTTACAACAGGTGATAACACACTATTGAAGTTGACACCTTCTTTCTGAGTAAACTCCCTAGTAACCAGCCTTGCCTTAAAGCGCTTCAACATCCCTCCTTCGATTCCTTCCTTGATCTTGAAAATCCACTTACAACTAACAAACCTTGCTCCTGCAGGTTTCTCAATCATCTCCCAAGTGTTATTATCATAAAGATATTTTATCTCATCATCCATGGCTTTTCCCCATACATTCTGATTTTGACTCTTCATAACTTCCTTGTAATCTCTAGGTTCTTCCTAAAGTACCTCACTTGTAGAGATTTAGGTAAAAGCTATGAGATTTGTAGAACCAAGTATTTGAGGTGGCTTGATGACTCTTCTCGACCTATCTCTTGCCAGTAGGTAGTCATCGGCAATTTCCATCTTGCTCTTCTTCTTCGACTTCATCTGGGTTATGCACTTCAGCATCACTATGCTCCACCTCAACAGGAATCTCTATCTGTTCCAACTTCTCTTCAGAGATTTCTGCACTTCGACCAGCATCACCAGTTTTCTTGAACTCCATCTCGAATTCATTGAAAACTACATCACGACTTATGATACATCTTATGTGACCTGGTTCTAGGCACCATGTAACACCCTTCTAAACCCCGCGGAATATATATATATATATATATATATATATATATATATATATATATATATATATATATATATATATATATATATATATATATATATATATATATATATATATATATATATATATATATATATATATATATATATATATATATATATATATATATATATATATATATATATATATATATATATATATATATATATATATATATATATATATATATATATATATATATATATATATATATATATATATATATATATATATATATATATATATATATATATATATATATATATATATATATATATATATATATATATATATAAAATAAGAGTAAATCATCATGCATTCACAAAAGGGTGTCACACATAATTTTTAAAACATCAAAAACACTTGTCATGCTCATTAAAACTTTAATAAATAATCATGCTTTTCAAGGTTTCACTTCGTATGTAGCAGCAGATTCAATTTATATCATAATTCTCGTAACGGAAACATTCATGTTCATCACATAATTCAACATTACTTAGGCACTAAGGTCAACATCATAATATTCCGATGAATATAAAAACATAGCGTAAAGTACATAATGTATCTCTAAGACATAAACCAAGCGATCCTAGTGTTACATGACCAGAGCATTGACTCGACCCAACATAATTAATATATTAAACAGCTGCACCAACATCGACCTCGCAACTACCAGCAGTTCTACTCCTCGATACCTGCGCGATGTCGTATAAAACATCATTCCAGCAGAAGGGTGAGTATTCGCATCAATATTGCAATCATAAGATAATGAATAATGTAAAGCATGTCAACACCAACACCAATATTCTCACACTTCAATTTTTCTCAGCCAATAACATTCAACAACCATACATTCACAACCCCCAATTCAACAAGTCATACACATACGCATACTTTCATACAACAATTATATATGCCATGCGACTTGATGCAAACTCAATGCAACTCATGCCATGTGGTACCAACACTTGTTATTATTTTTCAATTTTTACATTTAAACCGGGTTTGTCCCCTAGACCAATAACAAACAAAATCCCGTCCCCTAGGCTTTCAAATCCCACTCTAGGTTTGGGACAAGTCACTAGTCTCCACGAAACTAGCAAGCATTGCCTCTTGACAACAAATGATGCGTATGCAATCAACAACCATATGCACTTAAGACCATTCTCGCATCTTAATCCCATGCATTCTCAAATAATTCATCACAGAAGAATTATAACATGATTGCACACACAACACCTTTTATAATAATCAAAGTATTCATACATTCAACATCATCACTACATTTATCAAGTAATGCAGAAGAATCAATTAGATTCAATCACAATCCATAGCACAATTCAACGATTACACATAGGACAATCAATCCATCACCAATAA